AGAGAGAGAGAGAGACACGTTTAAATTTTAAATATTTTTCTATAATTTACATTTATAATGAAATTACAGAAATTTATTATGAAGTTATAACACTTATAATTATATTATTTTATAATTGAATATTTAACTATTTAATGCTCTATTTCATGGTTATATAATAAATCTTCTCTTCTTTTAAATACTGTAATTCACATACTTTTTCCTCTACAAACTGGTATAAATTTCTTTTTTTTGAACTGGGAAAACATATTAGTCCTCGTTACGAATATCAAACATTTAATCATTTTACCAATTCTCGGAGAAAAAAATCGACTTTATAATTTTAACACAATATTCTACACATCCAAACACTTGCACTTTAAAATTAAGAAAGAAAAAAATTGGTTTTTTTCAATCTTATTAAAATATTCTCTTAAAGAAACCAAATAATTATTAAATTTGTATTAACTTGGCGATTGATTTTTTTATTTTCTTTTTTGGTACAGACAGTTTGGAATAAATTTATAAATATTAATAAATTTGTAGAGTTAAATAGATTCAGTTCTACTATAAACATTTTCTAAACAAACAAAAAATCTAAAATACTTTTCTTTACATTCGAAAATAGAAAATAATGATAAAAGTTTTTATTTAATTATTATAAACGAATAATCATTGCAAATTTCTCTTAATATAAAATTTTAGCAAACCAAGAAACAACACATAGAATTTTTTATTATTTTAAGGTACATTCGAAAATTAATTTTTTTCGAAAATTAATTAATTTTTCGGTACACTTTAAAATCTTAAAATTTCTTATGTAGCACATATTACAAAATAATTAAAATCCTAAAAGATAATTTTTTATCATCTTCTAACATCCTAAACAATTCCTACAGCCTACAATTCTTAAAAAATTGTAAATTTTTCTCTCAAAACATTAATTGAATGTTGATTGAAAAATAAGATATCAAATTAAAAAAGTTGTTTTGTTCAGTGTCTATCGCGAATTCGCTTAGACTCGCTGCATATATATCTTCCGGTGGTCTCCATGGAGAAATTCGATTCGAAAGAGGTACAGAATCTTCAGTACGGATACGATATTCCTTAAAACCAACCTTACAATATCCGGATCAGCAATGGCTGTGGTCAGTCACGCAGTTCCCGGTTGATTATACAATTATCGATGGTAGATGCGACGAACAACACATCGGAAAAAGGTAACACAAACGTATAATAAAAATATAATTATATAATAAACATTATTATCAATTTTTAATAAAAAAATAATAGTTTGAATATTTTTATTAAAAAATCAATTATTTAATAATAATTATTTGCATTATTGTTTTATTTTGTTTTATATGCAGTATTATTGATCTGACGGAAAAAGTTGGACCTCTCGAATTGCCCACAAATCAAACCGGTTCGATAGAAGTCGCGGACTTATCTTTAACTGGACAAATGGGTTTGTGGGGGAAGAGTTTAGTACTGAAAGATAATTATTCGCCAAGAACGATATGCGCTTCTATTACGGTAATTTACTAGACACATAAAGAATCATAATCAAGAATGAAAAATATAAGAGTAACAAATAAATAAAATTATTACAAATTTTTGTAATTGATAATTGATTAATTAGAAATCATATTCTGATATTACGATTTTTAATAGTTAGTGATAAAATAATTATATGTGTACCATCAATAGCAAATTTTTTTCCGTTCAGGTTCTTGAAAGAAATATCGAGAAATTTGCTACAGCGCGTTTTTACGGTCCTGTTGCTGGAACAGTTTTGTTTCGATGGTTAGGCGGTCAAGTGGGTAATGATACTGATACAATTATCCATACAAATTTATATCACGTTCATAAACAGAAATTGCAATCGCTAAAGTACACCGAGCATCATTGGAAAATCTATGTTACTGATATCTTGGAAACTGGCAAAGGTCGCTCATAAATTCTATAATACTAATTACATAATTTTTTAATTAATATTTGCATAATTAATAACATTTGGTTGTATAATTGTTTAATAATGTATAACATAATCGTTCATGACGTTATATAGTATTTGAAATACTTATCTAAAATATTTATATGTTTAGATAAAAATAATTGTAATATACTTCAAAATGTATTTGATCCTAATAATTCTGGGGATGAAAAATCTATCGGAGACATTGACGTACGTTTAGGTAAAGTAAAAGTTGCCATCGACACAAAAGAAAAATATAAAACTTTCTATAGAGATCCAGAATTATCTTTATTACCAACGGATTTACTTGGTCCACATCGTCACTTGTACCTAGTCATCTTCCATCCTGTACACGAGGATTCCTTTTTGGCTTGTGCAAAAATAAATCATCGTAAATCAATACATACCAAGTAAGAACCGCATAATTAGTCGCGTTAAATAAAATAATAAAGTTTAATTTAAAAAATAAACTCCCCATTCTTGCAAATGATACGCATAATATTAAATGAGGAAAATCTGTTTACGTAAATTAATAAAAAATGTTAGCCAAGAATAAAAATTATCAAATGTGTATGAAAACAAAATGTCATAAGACAATAATTTTTAAAAATTATTTAGGATTATAATTAATTCAAATGGCATCAAAGGTCAGATTACGGCGATTCAAGAAACACCGTTCAATCCAACATGGATCAATATTTCATTAACAACTATAAATGATCTGGAAACTAGATTACGGTACGCCACTAAAGTGGCATCTTATAGAATCCACGAGTTACCACCAGAATCGGCGAAAAGTGTTGGAATTAGTATTAATCCATGTTTAACTACTAAAAAGTTATTCAATCCTCTAAATATCGATGAAAAGACTACCCCACCAGCAGGTAATTATTGTAAAAAGTAATTATTGTAAAAATTTAAATTATTATGTAATGTAATATACATATGTAATTATGTAATGTAATATACATATACAATATCTTATATATTATAATTTATTAACGATAATATTTAGAACAATAAAATATACATATAATAGTCGAATTATTCTATAATTAAATAGGTTTTGGTACTCAGGATCAGTATGCTATTGGCGATTTATCTGGAAAGCTTCAAGATCGAAAGGAAGGATCATATCATAATAATATTCTACCTGGGAGTGCCAGACTCAATGGAATTTATTGGGATACATATTTACCGCTTTCTGGAATCCATAGTATTGTTCACAGATCTTTAGTTCTTTACAAGTAATTAATTATGCATATATTTTGAAATTGTACAAAATAAATTATCTTAATGTATTATTTTAATTTCAGTTATTTTTTATATATTTACATATATTTACATAGAAGTTCGTAATCTAATTATTATACAGGGTAATTGTTAAAAGATTGGAAGTCCGGATTTATTTGGAAGGATTGACGTTTTGGAAGAAAACATATTTCAGACAAAAGTTAGGTGTAAAAAGGTGTAAAAAGATTTGTTTATTGATTTTATCAGTTTGACCTTAGGTGACGCCTGGGTCAGATCAAATCGATTTTTTTAAACGAAATATCCTATTTTTGATTTTTGAATCTAACATCTGATATCAAGAACTTTTCAAAATACTATAATAAGATATTTTTTCGAGTATGAGGCTTGAAAGTTACAATATCGCCAGAATTAGCATTATCCAAGGTATATTGCGTGGAGACTGATCGAATTTATATCTCTTTTATGTTCGAAAGAAGATCAATGGTTGACATAGCCAATGAAGGCAAGATCGGCGCTCACTCACATGCACATGCATGAACACACAAAAGAGATGTAAATCCGACCGGGCATTACATCTTAAATAATGCTAATGCTGACGGTACTGTAACTTTTGACCCTCATAATTTGAAAAATTAGAAAAAATATTTTATCACAGTGTTTTGAAAAGCTCTCTTATCAAACTGATAAGACCAGTAAATAGATCTTTTTAAACCTTACAATTTTTGTCTGAAACATTTTTTCCAAAAATATTATCCTTCCGAGTAAGTCCGGAGTTCTGACCTTTATTGGACACTCTGTATATTAAATAATTCCTTTGTACTGTGTATTTAAAAAGCATTTCCTCATCAGATACAATGAAACTGATAACACAGGCATGATTCCATGGGTGTGCGGCACGTTCGCACTTTATACACCACATACCGATTGGCAAATGCCAATGTATACAGCGGAAGTGGTATTCAGATATCCCATTGTTGGGCGAATACTTTTTCGACAGCCTAGAGATGATCCCGATATGGACACTACTATAATAATAGAACATCTCGTTCATGCAGATGGCAATTTAGTAAATAATACTGCAGATCACAGGTTCATAGAAATCTTGTACTTTACAAAAATTTTAGTAACATAGATAATAGAATTATTTAAAATTGTATTATTTAGATGGATGATACATGACAATCCACCGGGAAAAGATTTTTATAATTGGACAGGTCGATGTCTAAGTGCTGGACTACCCTACAATCCATACAAAGTATTGTATTTAATTAAAATTTTTCAATTTTAATCGAAAAAATTATCATGAAGTCATATTTTTTTTCAAAAATGCTAAATAGTCGCAATATTTTTCATTATATTAATATATATTGCGTATAATCTATTTATTTATATAGAATTATAATATTTCAGCTGGATTGGAAACCAGAGAGCTCTTGTTTCATTGCAGAACCTTCGTTATGTCGCTTGGGTGACTTAACAAGACACGGAATGCTTGAAATTGCCGGTAGAAAAGTCAACGCTTCAGAGTTGACACGAAAACTTTTTACAGACACAATATTATCTTTATCAGGACCTTATGCATTATTTGGCAAAAGTTTAGTTATCTATGATGATCATGGTCCAGTTGCGAGGGGAGATCGATTGGCCTGTTCCATGTAAAAAATATATGTATAATAAATATGCCATAAATTAATTTAGATGAAATTAAAACTTTTCTAATAATAATATTATATTTTATATTGTATTTTTAGTATTGGCGGTGTCTATCGACGTAAAGCGGTTGTCAAAGATTGGTTCGGTAATGGCGAACAAGTGTCCTTAAGAGGAAAATTAGAATTATTACAACAGACAGAATATGATGTTACTAACGTGGAAGTATCTCTCGAAGGTCTTAATGGAAAAATGAGTGGATATCACATACATATGGTAATAGATATTTGAATAAAACAAATTTAAGCTATATTTATGCAGTCTAGATATTGAAATTTCTTCGTGTGTATTCAAATATATTTGTAGTATATTAATATTTAAAAGAAATCTTTTGAGATATACATATTTTATTCTCAATTCCTTTTTTTTACAGATTTTATTTAGTAATTGTTATATTTTTATACATTGTATATGTGATATTTTACAGACGCCTGTAGAATATGGTTTAGAATTTCCGTGTGAAGGAACATCGCTCTATGGACATTGGAATCCATTAGGTATTAATATAAGTAATATACCAACAGCAGAAGAAGGTACATTGGATCAATACGAAATGGGTGATTTGAGCGGAAAATTTGGCACTTTGGATAACAAAAAGAGATATACAACAATATATAATGACACAATGCTATCGTTGTTTGGTCCAAGAAGCATATTAGGACATAGTGTAGTGATTCATAAGAAAGAAAAAAATTTAAGGTAACTGATTTTAATATAATATTAATAAAAATTTGCTGTAATATTGATAAATATTTGTTACATATATATTTTCTTTTAAAAGCTCTTATTTTTATCTTTCATTTTTATGTTTAGATGGGCATGTTCCACTATAGAGAGAGGATATTCTCCAGCCGATGCCAGTGAGTTACGTGCCATAGCGTCATTCCATCATCCACAAGGTTTCATGTACGGTTATATAAAAATGGTAACTTGTCACATGTATGAACATTTTGCAAGATTAAAAGATGCAAGATTCTCGATACAATATATAATTGCAGACGCAACTTGTTTATAAAGATGGTAGCCAAAGTGAGACGATAATTGAAGTAAACTTACGACATCCTGGAAAACATGATCGCAATATTGTAAGAAAATTCAAGATTTATCTGATGTGTGACTAAAATGCATTATACATCTAATTGTACATCTGATTTTAGACTAAAAATCACAATTGGGCAATATATGTAAATCCTGTGGGTGTGGATGCTGCGGTGAAAGTGAAGGATACTCGATGCGTAGCGGGTGGATACACGTGGAATCCTTATTTTACACAATTAGCCGATCCACTAAATGTAAATATTATTGATCTTTGATATATTTTTTAATTTAATTGAAACAATTTTTTAATATATTAATTAAAAAAAGCATGCCTATTAAAATAATTGTTTCTTCTGTTAGGATGATCTTTACAGAGAAGAATGTGGTCCAGATTTGCCACTTAGATGTTATGTTGGCGATATATCGTCTCGTTTAGGACCAATTAATGTTGGAGAAAAGCGACAAATATTTACAGATTCGAATTTTCCTTTGGGCGGATCGGTATCTGCGATGGGCAAATCTATTGTTATTTTTGATAAGGATTTTGGCGGTAACAGATACGCCTGCGCAAATATTGAACCTGATAATGATATCGTAAAATACGCAAATATTAGGAAACCACCTCGATTTGTAGTGTAAATTACCTATTTGTAAAATATTGTGTACAGGGTATATCTTAAAAAGCACTTACTAATTATATTGCGTTATTTCTTGTAAAAAACTGAATCGAAAAGTTCTGAACCATTTTTTTTACAATGAATAATGAGGTAATAACAATTGAAAAAAATTGATCCAGTCAGCATCATTTTTTAAGCGTACGTGAGTGATGTTTAATAGTGTGCATGAGTTGCTGTATTCGGCACACTCCCATACGCCCGTCTAAAAAGCAACGTTGATTGGATTAATTTTACTTAATCCTAATAATTGCTTTATTAAACATTATAGACAAAATTCAGGACTTTTCGACTCAATTTTTTACAAGAACTAACGCTATATAATTAGTGAGCGTTTTTTGAGATACATTCTGTATATATGTGTATAAAATTTATCCCAGAGATAAAAAATAAATATTTATTGATTTCGTTTACACAGAGCTCAATTCTTAGAGGATGTAAGAAAAGTAATGGGTGTTCCTGAGTGGATGCTATCTATCGATAACAGAAAAACAAAAATATTACATAATGGTGCATGCATTCAATTTCTTCTGCATTTCAAAGGTAAATGTCTGCTACGATAATTAAATTTAATTAGAACGTATTATAAAATTTAATTTGTTTAATTAATTAATTAATTTTTATTTTGTTAACTTTGCGCTTTTTCAGGTCCGATTGCTAATAAGTTAGAGCAAGATTTTAGTAGGCTTATATCCATTGGTAAACTCGAAGCTCCTAGTTTATACATTCCTGGATACGTACCAACAAAAAGAAAGAGTACACTAGGACATCGACAGTGTGGCGTACGCGATCCGGATGACAAAAGTATGACAATAACAAACAATAATAATTTTTTGATATTAAATTAACATTACATTTATTACAGATTTCAACAGCTATCGTCTATCTCGTGCGTCTATCTCGTTGTTATCTAATATCTTTGTAATATTTCTTGTAATTGTAAGTAGGATAATATAATCTAATATAATCTAATATAAATCTAATAATAATTTTGTGTACAGAATTTTTATAAAATATACATTATATGAATATGAGAAAAGTGTATTTTATATAAAAATTATTTTATCGAAGTTGCCTACATAAACACTATTTAACACTATTTAATAGCTATTCTATATAACAGGTCTATTTGACAATATTAACTATCTTCACTTCTTTTAGATATCGATATAATACATTTGATATAATCAAAAAATAAGGTTTATTCTTTATAGCTGAATTAATGTACATACGTACCTTTCCTATATTTAAAATAAAATAGATATATTTGTAAAATTTGGCAAAAGCGAGAAACAAAATTTTAACAGTCCAATGTAATATTGAAAGACAAATCCATATATAACGATCATTCGAGAAATATCATAAGCAGCAGCAGCTCACAAAAAGATGCTTGAAGATACTCTAAAGGATAAACATATTCAATATGAAAGATTAAAGAACAATCATAGTTCTCCATTAATATCAACTTCATCTATTAAGGTGTGCGTTTCTTTTTTCAATTGAATTTAATTTTAGATTATTTTAATTTATTTGTAGACCTGCTCATCCGAAAAGAAGCTCTCTCTTTATCATGAGCAAAGACAGCGGATTATCGATAGCGATTGGGGAAGATATGCCCTGGATTTAAATTTATGGGAGGATAATAAATCACCCGTGGTACAGATAAGATCGAGTGAAGTATCATTAAAAGATAGAGAATGCTGCGGTTTTTTATCCGACAGATTAATAGGCATTGGTTTGTCTTTCTTGAAGAGATCACCTGAGAACGGTCTCTATATTCTTAGCAAATGCGTCTTGAATAATAGGGTATTTCAAAATTAGATTTATATAAATAGCAAGTACTTTCCAACATTTATTTATTTTATGTTTGGTTGTTTGGTAATTAAACTAGCGATCGAATTTATTTGCTGCTGTTTTTTGTTCAGGGACTTACGGATATCACCATGTTACAATATCATCGGCATTTGCAGTATATTAACATTTCCAACAATTATATATCATGTTTGTCCCCTCTGAATGGACTTTCATGCTTAATATACTTAAACGCATCGTATAATCAGATTCAATATATATCAAACTTGTCGCCTCCTTGGTACCTTACCTATGTAGATTTATCATACAACCACATAACAGATATCGGTGACCTGAAAAACTGTTGGAGCATCATTAAATTAAACTTGTCTCATAATGCTCTAGAAAACATCTCTGGCCTGGAAAATTTAAAGTAAATGCGTCAAATATTGTCTGATGCGTAATCTATAACTTGCATATTTTATTTTAGACATCTGCGGTATTTAAATTTGTCTTACAATTTCATCGAACATATTGAAAATTTGGATGGTCTGAATATAAAGGAATTAAATTTAGAAGGCAATTGTATAACATCGTTTAAATCTGCTATACCGGGTCATGGCATAAGCATATTGCCTAAGTTGCGAATTATCCTTCTGGGATATAATAGATTGTCGACTTTAGAATTTTTCAAAGTAAATATTACGAAAGAACGAATTGTACGAAAGTACGAAAGTATATTATAAATCCTTTAAAAAGAACATATGACTCTTTTAGGACGCGTACAGTTTACGTTTTATAGATCTAAAATTTAATAAAATTGCCGATCTTTTGGAAATATTGAACTTGAAAGGCTCGATATTTAAAGTCGACTTTAGAGGTAATACTTGCACGAAATGGCCTAATTATCGAAACGTACTGATATCTTTCGTACCAAGTCTTAGAATCATAGATAACATTGAGGTATCTGTGACAGAAAAGGTATTAAACAATTTCAATTTTATATACAAGATTGATATAAAAGGTTTGTCTTTCTTCATAAATTTTTGTATTAATTGAAATTAGAAAATTAGTCTCTTGATAAGGAATTTGAGAAGCTCCCCTCTAGATGAAGAAAATAGTGAAACCCATACGCAATATGACAATAAACCCATGACAATTTTTTCGTATTATCAAAATTTTATTGTTAATTTTTTATTGTTAATTTTATTTAAAAACTAAATAAAACTAAGTAAAAAAATTAAATAATATATTCCAGGTGACGTCGACTATATTATTTGCATCACCGCTGGATTTAATTGTTGTCCGCAAAGTAGCAAACTTAATGTTACTGGAACACTTAAATATTAGCAAAATAGATGCTCACGTTCAACCATATGATGAAATCAGTCCACCTCTAATAATACTTACAGGACCATCGGCACTAAAGAAAATGGCACTTGCTTTGCATGTGGCTCGAACAATTCCCGATAAAGTAATCTCCGCAATATTTCACTTTATCTTAAAGATTGCTCCTAAAGAAATAGCAAGATGTAATCTTTCAGATAAGATACTGCCGTTGGTATACCACAAAAGAAATGTACGAAGATGAAGTTGAACGTAACGCTTATATTCTTGTAAACAGAGAGAAGTTCAACGATATGGCGCGACGCGGCGAATTTTTAGTAATTTTAGATCTCTTGGGCAATAGCTATGGATTCCGTTAGTACAATATTGCTTATATTAAGTAATAAAAAATATTTTTTCAATCTTTCAAATGAGAATACCTTCTTAATCTATATGAAAATATTATTATATAATATACTGCTACAATTGTTATATGATATATAAATTGTGTTTCTTTTTGCAGATGTAAATCAGATCAGTCTTTTAATATCTGAACACAAAATTGGACTTACTCATATGAATCTGTATGCAGTTACGGAAATTTCTAAACGATATCCGAATGTGAAGGCGATCTTGGTGTTGACGCAGAATGTCGATCTTCACAGAAACTGGATACGAGAAAAATTCGGTGTCTACACGTGGATTAAGGACAGCGTGGAAAATTTATTAGCGGTTAAAATAGGAAAGCACCACGAGGAAATGGAGACCGCTAGTTGTATATTAAATTTCATCCAAGAAATCTTGGACGAGGTTTGACTTAAATTTTCCTACAGTGCAATTGTGCAATTTCTACAGTATATTGTAAAATTCCATTAAGTGTATATGTATCGTTCAGATAATATACCGTCTAGAATTATCAATTTATGGCATCTCACAAGAAAAAGAACCAACAACAACCGATATAATCCTGGAAAAGACCATACCGAAATCGTTTGTTTTACGAAAGAGCGAGGTAGTATCGAAAAAAGAATGTATTACGTTGACAGAAGCAAGAAATAGTATAAAATCATTTGGTTTGTCGTTTAAAGAAAAAGAACTTGAAGAATTAAAAAAACTGGAAGAATTAAAAGTATGAAATGTAATTTTAAATGGAATTTGAATACCTTTTATTATTAGTGTAATGAATAGGTAATATTGGATGAGAAGTCAAATATAATCATCGATGATGAAGAAACAAAACGTGAAAGACACAGATTAAAAATGATACAGCGTCGAATTTTATTGATGAACATATCTAGCATTTCATTGACGGACATATCTAGCACTTTTGATAATAATGATCTCGAATCGACATCTTCTGAAGAAACAATAGAAATTGTATATATTTTAAATATTCATTCGCCAAAGTGTATTACATCTGAATATCTTCATTGAGTGAATATAAAACGATGATAATAAAAGCTCTGCTCAATTAAAAAAGAATTATTACAACAGGACTTTTTCTTCAATGTCACTTTGTTATATTGTTATATATTGTTATTTTTTTATTCTATATATACATAAATATAATTTTTATATATAGGATCAGCAAATGATATCACACGAAGAAAAAGTAGAAATGTTAAAAAATATATATATTGAACTTATTATAAAAAATAGGGAATTATATTTGGACTATCATGAAAGTCATCCTGGTTTCTTTATTTTGGTGGTAATATTCTTATTAGTCTTAATTATATTAAATATAATAATGTAAATATAATAATGAAATTTAGATTGTCTTATATTGCAGTTATTTATGGATGATTATATGAAAGCTTTTACCTCGCTAATTGACTTCATTCACGAATCATATACAAATCTGCCTTATAGAAAACCAATCTTTTTATCAGAAGTGCAACATTTTAGGAATACAACAATTCTCATCATGCTTGAACATATCGTTAATGAAATCAGAGAGTAAATATATAATAAAACATGCAAATCTTAATTTAAACTCGCTTATTACAAAATAATTTTTTTTTGTTACAGAAATTTATCGATATCTAAACGCCAATGTAGAAAAATATTAAAACTGTAAAGAATTTTATATATTTTACAAAGGTATATCTGTGAGTAACGTTTAAAATAAAAAAAGTGACGTTTTTTTAGTACAACTATTTCGCTATTATTAACAAAGGATAAATATACTACATAATTTGAATACATATCCGTAACATTTTTTATCAATGATTCGTAAAATAAAATTTGATCAAAGATTTAAGATACAATTTTTAACGTATATATTTTAAATTATATGTCAATTTTTGTATTTTTTACTGAAAATTCATATGCATCAAAATATATTAAATAAAACTGCATTTTTATATAAAAATGTAATTACATAATTAATCATACAAAAACTAATGTAAAACTTATAACTAAGTTATACATAAAACTTATTTAATTTACAATATCAACAGCAAAAGGTACGTAACTTAAGATAATTTAAAATCATTTTGTATACACAAACATGTATACATGCATACAATTGATGCCTAATATAATACACTTTATTCCATTTGTAATATTTCATTTATATCTGAATCTAAATCAGAATATTTCATTTCACTTTTACTTTGAATCAGATTCCTATCTTTCATAGTACGTGGAGCAGGTTGTGGAAATACATTATCTTTTGCCTTTGGACTTGTAAAATTTTGTACAGGACTGTTCAAGATTGAGCTCATGCGACTAGTGGAATTTAAAAATTGATTTCCGGTATTATAATTTACAAGATCCTGCGAGCTCGTATTGAATCGAAAGATTGTTTCAATCGATCCTGCAGGTGGTTTCTTTGCTACTCTCAACTGAAAAATAATTTATAACAATGTTATTTCATATGCAATAATATGCAAATCTATATATATAAAGCATGATATGTATCTTACTTGTTCTTGTATCTTTTTTGATATTTCTGCGATTTTGTCGCTTTGCGAAGTTTTTAAAACAATGTTGCCTGTACTCATGGACTTCTCTTTTTGTAACGTATAATCTTTTCTCTCAGTAAAACTTAATATAAAAATAATATAGATTAATTATATATTTCAATATAAAATATATATTTAGAAAAATAAAATTAATAAAAATGAAAGTTACAATAAAATCTTTAATACCTTGAGACAATCCAATCATCATTATTTATTTGATTCTTTCTTTGATTATTTTCCGACATCGTTGCATCATTCTTTTTATCGTCTAAATCAAATAAGACTTTTTTCTTTACCAAACTACCAACTGAACCACTTGTCGGTTTCAAAACACTTTTATTGTTCTTCGGAGAAAAAACTAAATCGTCTTGGATAATCGTACTATCCGAGTTGTCGTTTTCAGAAAATTTTGATACTGCCACCTGTTTTTTGCTGATCGGAGAACTTACTTTACGTGTTTTAATATCTAATACAGTTATCTTTGTAGGCGAAATCTGTTTCACATCATCTCGGGATTCAATGGAACTTGTAGAGGAAATATTCTGAATTGACTGGGGAGATGTCGAAATCATTTTTGGACTGGTATAAATATCTCTTCCATTTTTTTTCAACGGCAATTCACGCGTATTCTGCTCATCTTTATATTTTTTAGGTAGGAGTTCAATCTTTCGTTTCAGACGTGATTTTAATGGTGTTGTATTCTCTGTTTTCTGAATAGATGTATATTCGCCTGAAAAACAGAAGATATTAAGCTACATAATATATTAGAAACTTAATATAAAAAAGATATAATTACCATTGTCTTTGTTAAATGCTTTCCAAGATTTTGATTTCACTTTTTGTGTAATTAGTTTATTCAATGGAGAATTTTTTGTAAGTGTGGAATATTTTGATCTCTTATAATTTGCCGATATTCTTTGACGAACATCTTCAAGTATTTTTTGTTTGATTTGATTATATCGAACTATTTTCTTTGCATTAATATTTTGTTGATGCTTTATAATCTCCATCTTTTGTCTAAATGTTACCATAGGTATTCCTTGCCATTCTGGATCAATTCCTAACTCTCTCAGTCGGTTATTAAATATACTTTGTGCATCTTCTTGCATCGATATTCTTCTAATATTGGAAGATTTAACTGTAGACGATTCATATTTTTTTACTGAACCATCGTCCGCTGTAACGCTCTCGCTATCAGTTTCGGATTCTGCCATAAACGATAAAGATTCGGATTCTGTCGTGGAACTTACACTATGTCTTTCTAAAAATTCAAATTTGTTTTTCACACTATCGGTATTTAACGTTTCTTTCTTCTCTCTAGCATCTATGTACTTTTTATTTACATTATTAGAAAAGTTTTCTTTGATATTAAAGCTTTTACTTGTACGATTTATTTCAGTTATGTCATTCAATGCATCATGCCTCACATTTTTTTTCGTTTTCTTAACAACTTCTGATTTATCCAATTTTTTCAGATTAGGTTTTGTAACCATATGTTTTACGGTTTTGCTATCATCAATAATAATTTTCTTATTACCCTTGCATTTTACAGTATTATTTTTACTAGATACATGACTTTGTGCCAAGGCTGACACTTTCTTATTGTATTCTTGACTAGATTCACTATCGATATCTTCAATAACCACCTCAGTATTTTTAATATGATTTAAACTTTTGTAAGTTTTGTTCTCATTATAATTACTATCATGTTTTATTGTTTGCAAAGGAGATTCATGAAATTCTTCGTATTTTTCTTCTACTATATTTTTTTCCTTAATTTTATGACTACTAATTTGTGCCTGTGAATTATTGATCTTACGTGACAAACTATTTAACTGTTCTCTTTGCTCCACTAACATATTAGACTGATCCATAGATTGTTTTTCTAAATCGTACACTTTAAATGTATATTCAGATTTTATGCGATCAGCTACTTGTTGTGTCGCTTTCAATTCTGTGGTCAATCTCTCAATATCTTGACGATGTTGAGTTTCCATATCTTCTATTTTACTTTTCCAATGATTTTCTTGCGCTTGCAATTTTACTTGCATGTTTTCCATACCTGGAGTCAACTGAAAATATAATTTAATACAATCATATTATTACTGACAAAAATATCATGGGATAAAAGATTCAATTCTTACTCTTTCAAGGAGTTGATTTCTCAAATTCTCAATCTCTTTCTCCTGCTGACTGATTAAAGTTTTCACATTCATCTCTAAAATACTCTCATTTACAACGTGATCTTTTTCTCTTAATGCCTGTAAAAAATTCCAAACAATTTGTGTGAAAAATGTTACAAAAAGAACGAAGTTATCTAATTATTAACTTACCCGTATTTCATCAAACAACATGCTTTTCAAGTTTTCAATATCATCCTGATATCCTTTATTTACTTTGCCAATATCATATTCATTCTTACTTATGTTTTTTATATAATTCTTTTCTGTATCCAGTTTGTCAGACTCATTTCTTATCACTCTTTCTGTTTGATTCAATCTTTCCTTTAATGTCTTTATTTCGTTATGCAATTTCTCTGTTTCTGTTCGATAATGATCATGTATAGGAGAAGTAGATACACCTATCTCTGATATGTATGAGTGTTTGCGTGCTATGTGAGCATTTACGAATATAGCACGTACAAATGTTTTTGGACAATGTGGGCACTAAGAAAAAGTTTACAATTAAATTTTCATGTCACAATCAATTTATCATTTCTATTTAAAATTTCTTATACATACATATACATAATTGTGTGTGTATGTGTGTATGATGCGCGCGCGCGCGCGTGTACACACACATATACACATACACGCACACACATACATACAATGTATATGTATATATATATA